ACTAGAAAAAGGAAATGGAGTTTCTTCCAGCACTGCTTGCACTGGATCTGAAAAGCACGGAAAACTCAGACACTGGCTAAATGACTACAGAAGGACTGTAAATGATTTGCTCAAAAGAAAGTAAGGGGTTTCCCCAGCTGAGGACCAGAAAACTGAAGCCAGTGGTAAAGGAAAAGGGAAGCTGGTGTTTCCCTGAGAAAAGCCTGATACCAGGACCCTGGAGGCCAGAGAGGAGGCCTGGGCAGGAGGGAGGAGCCCGCCTGACACAGCACACAGCCAGACACTGAAAGGGAAACTCATGAGAGGGCGCCAGCAAGAAACCAGCCTGCCAGGAAAGGAAGCCCCAGGGAAGCCCGATGGCGTTGCTGGATTTAAAGGAAGTAAAATCCTCATCTCCCTTGCCAATTTGTTGAAGAGTTTTTGTGTCTATATTTGTAAGAGATATTGGTCTGTAGTTTTCTTTTTTTGTATTTTTTACTCTGGTTTTGGTATCCGTGTAATTCTGGCCTCCTAGAGTCAGGGAAGTGTTGCCTCCTACTTTTTGGAAGAGTTTGTGAAAGATTGTTCTTCAGACATCTGATAGAATTCGCCAGTGAGGCAGCTGGCCTGGGCTTTTCTTCATGGGAAGGTTTATTATTGATGTAATCTCTCTGCTTGTTGTAGGTCCATTCAGATTCTCTATTTCCTCTTGATTCATTTGTGGTAGTTTTTGTGTTTGTAAGAATTCGTCCATTTCACCTGGGTTATCCAACTTGTTGGCAAACATGGCTCACAGTGTCCCTTAGATTACTTTTTATTTCCTAGTGGTTGGTAGTAATAAGCCCTCTTTCATTCCTGATGTTAATATTTTGAGTCTTCTGTCTCTCTCTTTCTCCTTTGTTTTTTGGCAGTCTGGCTTTCTTTTTTGTTTTTGTTTTTGGTACAAGCAGCAGGTTTATTTTCTTTGATATGGAATTCACAGAGTTAATTTGATGCCCCCAAATGAAGTAAAATTGGAACATTTGCATATGAAAACTTTCCTTGAAACACTTATTCAGATGTTTGTTAAAATTATTGATTGTCAGATCAAAGAAACTGAAATTTCAAGTTTGTTCACAGAAATTCAAAAAATTGGTTACCTGGGAAGTTTTGAAATGGCAGTTCTATCTCAATGTCGTAATTACCAGGGGGAAAAAATGCTCTCTCGGCTAAGACTTTTGACAGCCCTGTAATACTGCGTACGCCCACTTTATACAAAGGCATGTGCATTTTGCACAGAGGGTGCATACATTCCTATTATATCATTTTTTGGAAGTGGGCTCAATTGCCTTGTAGTCTCCAACAGGGTCAATTGTCAAATTGTCAATTTTGTAGACCTTTTCAAAGAACCACTTTTTTGCTGATTCTTTGCTGGTTTTGCTGATTTCTTTGTATTGTTTTTCTATTCTCTTTCATTTATTTCTGCTCTAATCTTTATTATTTGCTTTTCTCCTTTTTGCTGTTTGTTTAGTTTGCTCTTCTTTTCCTAGTTTCTTAAGGTGAATGTTTAAGTTATTGATTTTTTCTAATATAGGAGCTTACTGCTATAAATTTCCCTCTGAGCACTGCTTTTGCTGTGCCCTGTAAGTTTCAGTATGTTGTGTTTTTGTTCTGTTCATCTCAGTTTGCTTTCTAATATTCCTTGTCATCTCTTCTTTGATCCATTTGTTCTTTAGCAGTGTGTTGTTTAATTCCATATATTTGTGAATTTTCCAAATTTCTTTCTGTTATCGATTTCTAATTTCATTATACGGTAATCAGAGAACACACTGTGTATGATTTCTGTTGTTTTAAATTTATTGAGACTTGTTCTGTGGCCTAACATGTGGTCTATCCTGGAGAATGTTCCATATGCACTGGAGAAGAATATATATTTTGCTGTTGATAGGAGGAGTGTTCTAGATTCCCATTAGATCTAGTTGGTTTATATTGTTTTTCAAATTTTCTATTTTCTTTCTGATCCTCTATCCAGTTGTTCTATCCATTGTTGAAAGTGGGGTATTGAAGTCTACGACTATTATTGTTGAATTGTCTATTTCTCCCTTCCATTAAGTCAGGTTTGCTTCATGAATTTTGGGGCTCTGTTGTTAGGTGCATATATGTTTATAATGGTTAAATCTTCTTGACAGATTGACCTTTTTATCATTTTAAAATATCCTTTGTCTTTAGTAACAACTTTGTCTTAAAGTGTACTTTGTCTGATATTGGTATAGCCACTCTAGCTCTCTTTTGGCTAATGTTTATATGATACATCTTTTCACATCCTTTCAACCTATTTGTGTCTTTGAATATGAAGTGTGTCTCTTGTACACAGTATATAGTTGAATTATATATATAATATATAAAATATATTTAATATATTTAATAATATAATAAATAGTATTATATTATAAATTATTTTGTTATTAATATATTAATAAATAATATTATATATTATATAGCTATATAGTATAGTTTTGACATATATACATATATATGTCAAAATTATATAGTTTGTTGACTCACCAATTTCGACCTTTTGAGTGTTTAATCTATTCACATTTTATGTAATTATTGATAAGGTAGAATTTACATCTGGCTTTTTGCTATTTGTTTTCTATATGTCTATTTTTTTGTCCCTCTATTACTCTGTTACTGCCTTCTTTTGTGTTAAGTAAATATTTTCTAGTATATCATTTTAATTCCCTTGTCAAAAGGCACAAATCATAAAAGAAAAGTTTGATAAGTTGAACATCATCAAAATTTAAAATGTTTACCCTTTGAAAGACGTGGTTAAGAAAATGAAAAGGCAAGCCATAAACTGGGAGAAAATATTTGCAAAACATGTATTTTATAAAGGACTTGTATCCTGAATATATTATTTATAATTCAATAATAAGAAAACAAATGACCCAGTAAAAACAAATGGATAAAGCTTTGAACAGTCACTTTACCAAAGAACACACATGGGTAACAAATAAACACCCAAAGGATGCTCAGCCTCTTTAGTCATTTGTTGTTATTAGTGCCATCGAATCAATTTAGACTCCTAGCAACCCTGTGTACAGCAGAGCAGAACCCTACTCGGTCTTTTTGCACCATCCTCTCACCTTCCAGTGCTATATCAGACTTTGTTCTGCTGCTATTCACAGGGTTTTCATGGCCTATTTTTTCAGAAATGGGTGGCTGGGTTCGTCTTCCTCATCTGTCTTAGTCTGGAAGCTCCGCTGAAACGTGTCCACCATGAGTGCCCCTGCTGGTATGTGAAATACCAGTGGCCTAGCTTTCAGCATCACAGCAACATGCAGCTGCCACAGTAAGTCAACTGACAGACGGGTGGTGTCGTTCCCTGACCTGGAAATGAACCCGGGCCATGGCTATGAGAGCGCCGAATCTTAACCAGTAGACCACCAGGGCTGGCTCTATAATATTATGGAAGTGCAAATTAAAACCAGGAGTTGGGGCCGGCCCCGTGGCCGCTTCGGCAGCCCAGGGTTTTGCTGGTTTGGATCCTAGACGCGGACATGGCACCGCTCATCAGGCCATGCTGAGGCGGTGTCCCACATGCCACAACTAGAAGGACCCACAACTAAAAGATACAACTATGTACTGGGGGGATTTGGGGAGCAAAAAAAAAAAAGGTTGGCAACAGGTGTTAGCTCAGGTGCCAATCTTAAAAAAAAAACAGGAGTTAACATTACACACCCTCTTGAATGGTAAAAATAAAAGACTGACAATATCAAGTGTTGCAAGGACATGCAGTAGCTGGAACTCTCATACAATTGCTGGTAGGAATGCAAAACGGTATTCCAGGTTTGGAAAGTAATCAGGTAATTTCTTATAAAGCCAAACGTATATTTACCATATGACCCAACAATACCACTCCTGGATATTTACTCAAGATAATGAAAATCCACATCCACATGAAGACTTAAACATGAATGTTCATAGGAGCCTTACTCTTAATAGCCCAAAACTGGAAATAGCCCAAGTGTGCATCAGCAGGTGAATGAAGAAACAAACTGTGGCACAGCCATACGAGGGGACGGTGCTCCGTAATGCACACAACAAGAACAGAGCTTAAAAGCTTTAGCCTGAATGAAAAAAATCAGACACAAAAGATGACATACTTTATGATTCCATTTATATAAAATTCTAGAAAAGGCAAAACTTCAGTGACAGAAAGCAGATTGCCAGGGGTCAGGAGTGGGAGGAAGAGATTAACTGCAAAAGAACATGAGAGAATTTGGAGGAGTGATGGAAATGTTCTAGATTTTAATTGTTGAGGTGGTTAGAGGACTGTGTAAATTTGTCAAAACTCATTGAACTGCACACTGAAAATTGGAGAATTTTGTTATATATAAATTAAACCTCGATAAAGAAAATAGATAAAATTAGCAATGTGCTCCCCCACATATGGCAGCCTCCTTTGCAGTTACGTTGTGGCCAAGTGACAACAGAACATAAGAGGAAGTGATGTGTGTCACTGCTGGAGGTACTAGCTCATACTCAGTCATCTCTTCCTCTTGTCTCTTCTCCCACAGTGATCTTGGAGACCAGGAGTTCACGCTGCTATAAGGAGAGGGAATGTCTGGCCTGCAGGGGATAAACCTGATGGAATAAACCTTCATTGGGTTAAGCCATTGAAATTTGGGGCTTTTTCTATTGGGGAGGCTAGTGCTAATTACCCTGACTAATACAAAAGACATTAAAGAACACCCAAATTCAGAAAGAGTTACATCCTGTTCATCCATAAGAATACAAATTTTAATAATAATGTTCACATAACTTCAAATCAGCCAGCCCTTGTGGTCTAGTGGTTAACATTCGGCACTCTCACCACCATGGCCCATTTTATTTCCTGTCAGGGAGCCACACTACCGTCTGCTGGTTGTCATACTGTGGCGGCTGTGTGTTGCTTTGATGCTGAAAGCTATGCCACTAGTATTTCAAATACCAGCAGGGTCATCCACGGTGGACAGGTTTCAGTGGAGCTTCCAGACTAAGACAGACTAGGAAGAAGTACAGGGCCGCCCATTTGCCAAAAAATGGCCATGAAAACCCATGAAGAGCAGCAGAGTATGGTCTGATACAGCACTGGAAGATGAGAGGACGGCGCAAAAAGAGAGGCAAGGTGGCACTCTGCTGTGCATGGGGTCACTAGGAGTCAGAATCAATTCAACTGCACAAATGACAAAATTTCAAATCAGAATTCCATCAAATTCCTTATGCACCTTAACAAATTGCTTGTACAATGTATATGATAGCATAAAGAGACTAGAATAACCAAGACCTTCCTTAAGAAGAAGGTGGGAGGCCTTGCTCTACTAGACATCAACTTTATTCTTTATAAAGCTATAATAACTAAGACAGTGTGTTTAAATCCGCTAATGGCACTAAGTAGACAGCCTCAACATAGACCCAGATATGACATATAAGTGACATTGTAAATTAGTAGGGAAAATTGGTTGTCCATATGGGGCAAAAATGAAGTTGAACTCTGCCCTAACACCACACCTAAAGTCAAGGTCACTTAGGTTAAGGACTTAAATGTGAAAAGCAACACTTCATATTTTTAGAAATTAATGCAGAAGAATATCTTTATAACATTAGAGTGAGACAGTTTCTTAAACCAGTAAAAAAGGCACTAAAGTACTAGACATTTTTTCAAATATTGCTAAACTTGACCTCATTAAAATGCAAAACTTCTGTTCATCAAAGAACACCCCAAAAAAGTGAAAATACAAGCCATAAACAGGAAGAAGATATTTACAATATGTATAATGAACAAAGGATTCATTTTCCAAACAAATATGTGTGTGTGTTCATGTGTGTAAAACTCCTATGAATCAATGAAAAGACAACAACAGAAAATCAGGCAAAATCCATGAAAAAATATTTCTCAGAAGAGGAAGCACAAATGGCAAATGAATACACGAAAAAAACATTCAAACTTACTAGTAATTAGGGATTTGCACATTAAAATACAATTAGATATCACTAGATTGGGAAAAATAAGAAACTCTGATGATTCCAATTATTGGCCAAAATGTGGAGCAAGAGTGACTCTCATACACTGCAGGTGGGGGTGTAAATCGTTAGAACTACTTAAAACAGCTTGGCATTATCTTATAAAGTGAAGATTAATTCACCCTATGACTCAGTTATTCCACTCCTAGATACAGAGCCTAGAGATCTTTTTACACATCTTTATCAGAAGCCACACACAGGAACGTTTGTTGTAGCAGCGTTCGTAATAACAAGAATTGGAATTGACCAAAATATCTATCTCCAGAAGAACACATACGTCTGTGGTGGCACATTCCTGTACTGGCATGCCGTACAGCAGTGAGGATGACCTAACTATGCTCCATGTGTCAGCAGGGTCTCAAAATCAAATATTGAATGACAAAGGCAAATTACTAAAGAATACATATAGCATGATACCACTTATGGAAAGTTCCAAATATTACAAATATATTCAGTGGGGTATAAAAGTGGAGGGGATATGGTCCACCGCTGGTGCAGGCAATGAAAGGGGTATTATTTGTAAAGAAACTTAAAACAATAATAAAATAGACTAAAACTCAGTTGGCTTTTTATTATCACCATGCATCAGTAATTCTGAATCATATTATTGATAAAATCCTCCCCCCAGCAAAGGCAACGACTTCCATGCCTCCTCCCACCTTGGCACACAACTGAAGGCATTATTCAGAGACTTTTTATTTTGTAGGAAAACTATCAGGGAAAGTAAGGGAGTCTAGAATTAACAGTCAGATGAGCGGTCTTCTTGGGAGGGGGGGACCCGCACAGATGCCCTCACAGGGATTCCTTATGTTCTATTTTTTAAACTGAGTGATTGGTACATACTGTTTATCATATTTTTAATATCTTATGCATTTATTGTGTATTTACTTACATGTTTATTTATATCTTCCATATGCATGAAATATTCCACCCTCAAGAGAAAGAAAATTGAAAAAACAAAATCAGCCAGGGGTGGAGTGGGGTGGGGGTCGGAGAGGGCGTGCTCTGTAGTGCATCCGAAGCTGCACATTCAAGAAAGAACAAAAGGGTCCATCAGAAAAGGAAGAGGAACCACCAGGCAGCAGCAGCAGCAGGTGCCCAGGCTGAAGCTCAGGGGATGTGGGGGTGTGAACTGAAGGGCAAATCTTGGAGGCATTGCCTTCCAGGCCAAAGAAGCCATGGACGTGGGTGAGGTTTCCAGGACGTGCATGTGGAGTGAGAAGTGCATGTGGAGTGGGAGCCAAGGCCGGAGGCCCAGGAACACTGACCTTCGGGAGAAAGAAGAGCCCTTCCAGCTGAGGCTGAACAAAGAGGTGGAGCAGCGAGGAAAGAGTGGGGTCTCAAAGCTGGCAGGGGCCCAGGCGCTGCTGGGAAGGTGACAGGATAAGGCCGAGGACGCCGTGACCGGACTTTGCAACAAGAGCCGCTGCTGACCTTGGGGCGGAGAGGAGGTGGGAGCCACACTGCGGTGGAGGAAGAAGTGACTCAGAGGAAGGGAGGCGAGGGTAGGGAGTGGAGACAACTCCCAACAAGCATGGCCGGGAAGGCAGGGAGCAGCTGCTGGGAAGAGACATGGAGGCGAGGGAGGGATTGCATTACACTTTTAAAATGTTCTTGAAAAAGTTCCAATCTGGTTGAGCCCCACCAAGGCGGAAAGGAGGCCTTCAGCCTTGCCACCCTGCTGGCAGCCGTCAGCACGGCAGGTATCTGTGGGGGCTGGAGCATGGGGTGCAGTGACATTGGTAGGTGGTGGTGGTGGTGTCTCCTATGGTGGGAAGAGTATTTTATCAATGATGTTCAGAATCGCTGATAGATGGTGATGGTGAAAGATAAGAGAAAGCAAACTGACATTTAGTCATTTTTAATCTTGCTTTTAAATTCTCCGCAGACACTGCACAGTTTCTTGTCTGCACTGGGACAGACAGCCCTTACCACTGGCCCTTGGTACCACCAAGAGGGAGCAACAGGGTTTGAGTCTCTAGGACCTGGGGGTGCATCCCAGCTCCTGCATGTTCCAGCTGGTCTGGGGTGAGCTCCTTACCTCTATGCGCCTCATGCCCTTTAGCTCACTGTAATTGAGGCTAATTCTTACCCTTTAGGGTGGTTGTAAGGATGGAATGCCCAGCACACAGTAGGTACTTCCTAAGTGTCCTTTTGGAGTCAGGGAACAGAGAACATAGTGACTGGTGTTGCCCCGGCCCCTCAATGGAGGAGCAAGGCCCTGTGCCGGCGTCCGGGGTCGATCCAGCGCGAGTGGGCAGGGGTGCGGGGAGGGGGTGAGCGTTCTCAGGCCCTCCGCCGCCGGCACTACCCTCGCGGCTTGGTTGGGGCCCACAGTTAATCCCTCCCACCTTGCTCTTCTTCACAGTCGCTGTCTGTCCGCAAAGGCCTCCCCATAGCCCCAAAGGCCAAGCCTGCGTCCCGCCCCTGCCCTCCCTGCGGGTCCCAGGGAAGCTCCCAGCCTGGGCCGTAGGGGGCGGTTGTCATGGGGACGCCGGGCCTGCGGAGCTGCCTCCTTAGCAACAAAACTCCCAGGCCGGTTACCATGGAAACAGCATCCACTCGGCAATCAGTGATGAGGATCGGGTTCCCTGCCCTTTCCCAAGGAATTTCCCCTCCTCTGGCGGCGGGCAACACGGCACTCCCCGCGCCGCGTCGTCGCCGCCGGGAGGGAGCCCCAGGGAGCTCGCGCTTCCAGCCCTGGCTGGCTGCCTCTCTCCTACCCGAGGAGGCCAGGGCCTGCGGGAACCCTCTGCAGCCAGCGCGGGTGGAGGCTGCCCTCTGAGGGCTTTGCAGAGGGTCTGGGGCCAGGCCTACCGCTGGGTGCGACACCTCCTAACAGTGAGGCCCCAGATCCCCCGTGTGTCCTCAGGTTCCCCAACTGACACAGGAGCCCAGCAGCCGTGGCCCACCCTTGGCCACTCTGAAAGGCGAGCTCTGTCCTGCCGTGACCCCTCCCCCCAGCCTGGTCACCTTCGTCTCCCTGCCGCCCTCTAGCTTCTTAACGCCCATCTGATCAGGCTACGAGGGCATCTCCCTCTTCAGTATCCAACAGTTCACCTGCACATTGACTACCCTCATTCTTGAGGGGGCACCAAGGAGTCCGAGGGACTCTGGAGCCCTGGCAGCTGGGGTGGGAACGATCTGAGTCAGGGTCTCACACCTCCAGGAGCAAAGGACACACACACACACGTGCTCACCCTCCTCAATGTCTCTCACCAGTCCATGGAGTCCACACCACGTCCACAGCCAGACCACTCATCTTCTAGCACCTTTGCCCCGCAGCTCTTGGGGACACAGGTTTGTGCACACAAGTGCCCACACATGCTCTGGAGGTCATAGCCCAGCGCCATCCACAGCCCAGCTCTCGAGCCTCCAGTACTCCCCATTAACCTCACCGCCCCACCCCAATCCCTGGCCCCTAGAAGAAGGCAGCACGTGCTGGAATTTTTTTTATTTAAATAAAATATACAACACGGCCCATTTACCGTTTTCTGTTTTAAAAGTGGAAGATTTGAAAATTGCTTGTGGGGGATTCGGCATAGGACGCCCCACTGACCGGACCCGGCTCCCCCAGTCTCTGTGGAGGGGCTGGACTGGGTTGGAGCTTTTATAAAATGTGTGTGCGTGTGTGTGTGTGTGAAGAGAAGAGGGTGGTGAGCCCAGGCCCTGATGGCAAGGGGGGTGGTCCTCACTCTCCTTGCCCCTGGGCTCTCCACCCCCATTCCTGCCCCGCCCCACCTGCCCTGCCACCTCCAGGACTAGACTGTGGGTTTGGATCAAGTCCTGATGTCTTCCTTGGGGGGCAGGGGTGGGTGTAGAACTGAGATCGAGGCTACTGATTAAATCCTTCCAGCTCTGAGAACTCCCGGGGCCCCAGTAGAGACCAAGGCCAGGCGGCTCCTAGCCTCTACCTAAGACCCCAGGATCCTTCACCCCCTTCTCTCCCGGATTATTGCCTCCCAGTCCCTGTGGCCCATCTATGGAGAAACTGGCCTGTCTCACATCCCAGGACAGCTCAGGACAAAACCTGATCTTGCCAACCTTCCGGCTTGGAGCATGGAGGAGGCTTCTGGAAGGACAAGGTGGAACCAGCCTTCCTCATTATTCAGGACTTGGCAGCCAAACTTGCTCCTGCCATATAGGCAGGGAGCAGACCTTTGACCCTGGCTCTGGCAGGGTCTTGCTGGGGAGGATCATGCCTCAGGAGGCATCTGAGCTGCCTTCACATTGGCCCTCACTCTGGACCTGCTTCTGCCTCCTACTTGCCTTCAAGAATCAAGGCCAATCCCCTTATCTGTCCTCCAGGGCCCTCCCTCTGACCCTCCGGCCTCTGGATCTCCTCCCAAAGCCCCTGACTCCACAGCCCCACATCTACCTCAGTCACACCCCCACCGTGCACCCCAGCCCACCTCCTGCTCCCTCCTTCCTCTCTTTCCTTTACTTGTCCTTCCTTCTTCCTTCCCTTCCTCCCCTCTCCCCATTCCCTCTAACTCCTCCCACATCTCAAGGCCTGGCTCAAGCCCACCAGTGGCCACACACCTTCTTTAGGCTCCTCAGGAGACCCAGCCCCCTCCTGCATCCTGAGATGTAAGTCCTGGAGCCCTCAGCAACGTGCCCGGGCTCCCACCATAGCTCACTGGAGCAACAGGCTGGGGAGGGAGCATGAGGAGGGGGCAGAAAAACATGATTTACTGAGTACCTACTATGGTACGTGCCAGGTGCTGGGCTGGGCGTTTCACATATAGGACTTTTCTCATCTGGTCCTCATAGGTCCTGGTGAGGCGGGACCATAATTATTCTCATTGCACAAATGAGGTAACAGAAAAGGTCAGATATCTTGCCCAAGAGCACACAGCTAAGGAGTGGCAGGGCTGGGATTCAAACCAGGTCTGATTCCCTTCCCTCTGCACCATGTCTGGAGGCCACCTAACTCAGCCCCTCTGCACAGTGCTCTCAGGGAAGGCGCACGGGCTCTTCCCCGGGCAGGCTTGGATGCAAATCTCCGATCAGTCCCAGCTCTGCCACTCCTAGTTACATGATTCTGGAAAAATTACCCAAACTCAGTCTCCTCATCTGTGAAATGGGGAGAATCAAAAGACCTGCCTCGTGGTCTTTGTACATGGAAGGAGTTAATGAGTGCACAGCGCTAAACCAGTGGTTGGCACAGAGCAGACTCAGTAAAGAAGTTCTCTCACCTCCCACTGTACAGATGGGAAAACCGAGGGCCACAGAGGCGACAGGATGTGCTTGAGGCCCTACAGGAAAGGAGAGGCACAGCCGAGTCTTCTGCTTCCACGAGGTGAGAGGTCAGTCTGGGTCTGGATCGGAGACCAGACATGGGGAGAGAGGGGGCCTGCTGAGAACCCTGGGGGACTCTTCCCTGAGGCCTGGAGAGAAGACTCCCCAAGACCCAGTGGCAGGGCCAAGGTTGGCTGCTGGATGTCAAGTGACCTGGGTGTCCTGGCGACATGGGGTTAAACTAGATTGCACACACATGTGCACACATGTGAGTGGCTATCTACATGGCTCTGCAGAGCGCTACATAGCTATACATATACACATCTTACATACATATACATATACATATACATATACATATTCATATACATATCTTGCTAAGTTTGCAGTAGAAAAAACGCAAGACTCTCAGGGCCCTGGCCCTGTTTTGTCCCAAGGACTCAGGCAACTGAGGCTCCCCAGGAACACACCCAAGGGCAGCCCCTTTCTGGGGCAACAAGATGACCCCCAGCAGAATGGGGCTCCAAGTTCACAGCTAAGGGGCTGGCAATGGCTGTTGCCCTTAAACGAATACAATGACAGATCTGCTCTAGGAACCCCAAACATGGGTCACCCCCACCCCTGCCAAGCCCCAGAGACCCCACCTGCCTTCCTCTGGCTTTTGTGTTTGGGCCCTGCCTGCTCCCCTCCCCCCACCCTCCCACTAGTGCTGAGTATTAAAATAGTCTATAAAAGCAAGTGACCAAAAATCTATAGCTCTAAGAATACCTGGTTATTTTCTGCTGTCTTTTGTTTTTCTGGTGTGAGTTTTTTTTTAAATGATAATTATTATTGTTATTGGTATTATCTCCTAATCACAGTTAAACCTGAAGGGAGAAAAAAAGCGAGGAGAGGGAGGAGGGGTCCCAGCTCAGAGATTGGACGGCAGTTTGGAGCGCACTGGCTCAGACCTGGCCCCAGGTTCCCTCTGGGGGGCAGCAGTCAGAGGGGGCCCCCCAGAAGAGGCGGCTCTTGCCCCAAACAAAGAAAGAGGGGGTGGCAAAGAACCTGAGGATGTCTTCCGAGGCAGAGTGACGTGCTGGCCGGAGACAGCACCATAGGGTCTCCCAGGGGGACCGAGGCCCCCGCTGCCCCCACTGCCGCCCCCAGCTCTGGGGAAGAGCGGGAAGGCAGCCATGGACTCCCCAGAGGAGTGTGGGGAGGCTCTGCGGAGAGTCTGCGCCCCATCCTGGGGTAGGGCCGGCTGAGAGGCTGAGATGAGCTTGAGGTCCTGGGTGAGGCGGCCTGGGGTGAGGGGTGGTGTACCCCGGCGCTGGGGGACCTGGGGGGGTGGGGGACTGGATGCAGGTGGCAGGAGCAGGGAACCGTGGGAGCCAGAGGCCCGGGGTTGGGCACTTGGGAAAGTTCTTGGGGGGCCTGGGCTGTGGCCAGTGGGGCTGAGACCTCCTCGGGGGGTAAAGGCTATAGGAGAAGCCCCCCCAGAGGCCCCTGCCAGAAAGGGCTGCCGCTCAGGCTGTCGTGGGGGTGTCTCTGGCGTACTTGGTGGGCCAGCGGCCAGACCTGGGGACAACTCCCCCGGAGGCTGGCCCAGCTGCCCTGGGCTGGATGACGGGGACCTGGATGAGGGTGGGGGCGGCAGGAAGTGCTCCAGGAGTCCCAGGCCTCCCCTGGCCCCCGGCAGAGGGGGTGGCGGCTGGTTAGCTTGTGGGGAGCGGGCGCCAGGCTGCAGTGGGGTGAGCAGGGGAGAGTCGGACGAGGACAGGGAGCCACCCAGCGCCTTGTGGAAGTGGCCAAACCCGGCAGTGGTGGTGGCAGCTGCAGCAGATGGTGTGGGAGCTGGGGAGGGGCCACAGACCCCAGGGGGTGGGGAAGAGCTGGAGGAGGGCAGGAGAGGGCTCAGTCCGGCGGGTGCAGAGAATCCAGCCAGCTGTTGGATGTGGAAGGAGGAGGAAGATGGTGTGTCCACCTGGGACGGGCTGCTGGCAGGTGAGGCGGAGCCCAGGGCAGAAGGGATAAGGGACTGCAGCCGCTTCAGGTGCCTTGGTGTCTGCCCGGCCCCGAAGCTGCCCAGCCCGGGGCCTGGGGGAGGGCGGAAGATGGCGGCGGGCAGGCGTGGGTGGTGGGTGAGGGCTATGGCCACGGAGGTAGTGGCAGCGGCAGCCTGCAGTGGTGCCTGGATCAGCGGGGTCCAGATGACGGGTGTGGGGGTCGGGGTGGCAGAGGCGGCAGCCTGGACACGGTGTGCACAGTGGGCCATCTCGCGGTCATGCTGCACAATCTGCTGGATGATCTCATTTTCCTGGTAGTTGAAGACGCCTGAGTTGAGGTCATGCTGGACTTTGTGGAGGAGGATGGAGTTCTTCTTGCCTGGGCCACAGAACAAGAGCAGGAACTCAGGCCAGAAGGGGCGGAGAGGGGGAGCCCGCCCCAGCTCGTGGGGCAGGGAACACTCCCTCCTACCCTCCCACCCAGCTCCCTCACCAATGCGGTCCAGGCGGTCCAGCGCCACAGTCTCGAAGGCCCGCCGCATCATGGGGTACTCCTCCAGCACCTCGTTGAAGTTGTCCACGCTCAGCGAGTAGAGGCGGCAGTAGGTGTCGGCTCTCACGCTGGCTGTGCGCCGACCCCGCGTCAGCAGGCAGATCTCTGCCAGGACAGCAGGAGTCAGGGTAGGCTTCTGTCAGACTCCACAGGGCTTCCTGCCTCACTCTGACCTAGGTCCCCAAAGCCTGGTCCAGAAGCTTGACAGGTTCACAAGGTTCCTACCCGCTAGCTGTGACCACATTGGATGCCATGCCCACCTCCCCCACCAAATGGGTGCTGGATGGTCTTTCCCATCTCTGGAACCATACTCCTATACTGGTCTCACAGACACCCACCTCTGGGCAGTAGCCACGAAGGGCCTGCCATGCCTACCATCCTTGGTGTCTCTCCAGCCCATTCCCCTGTCCCCCCAGAGCCCCTTGGCTGCCTCACCTCCGAAATAAGAGCCATCTGCCAGTTTGGTCTCCTTGTTGCCTTTGGTGAGCACACTGACCACGCCGTGCTGAATGAAGTACATCTTCTTGCCGATGGTGCCTTCGCGGATGATGTAGTCCCCTGGCTGGAAGACCTCAAAGCGCAGCTTGGTCAGCATGGATGTCACAAAGTTGGGGTCCGCGTTGGCAAACAGTGGCATGGAGGCCACCAGCTTCCGGCAGTTAAAGTTAATGATCTCCTGCTCCCCAGATGGGGTGGATTGGGAAAGAGGGGGAGAAGGAGGTGAGGGGAGCCACCCGAGAGGAAGGCCTGCTCCCTTGCCCGGCCTGGCTGTGGGCAAGCTCACCTCCCGCAGCGGCTCACTCAGCTCGCCCAGGATGCTCTCCTCGTCAAACATCTTGCCCTGGTAGCGGTGCTCGTAGTAGTCGTGGATGCGCTGCCGGGTGTCGGGCGGAAGCTTATGGAAGGACATGTACTGCTCCACCTGCTTGTACTGAGTTCCAGGAAAGGAGGAGAGGGCGTCACCCCCTGCCAGCCGGCCCCAGGGCCCCAGCTGGCACTGCCCGGCCTCAGCCCTGCTGGTGACCAGGGCTGCATGACCCTGTGGGCCGTCTTGGCCAACCTTAACTCCTCAAGACAGAGGTCCTCAGTGTGGGTGTGGTCACGCTGTGCCCCAGAAAATGGCCCTGACTCCCAGCTGCTTGGGGCTCCATCAGAGTGTCTGGTCTCACCGCGTTCAGTGCTATGGAGATGGCTGTGGGACAATAGGAACTGTCTAATCCCAGATATAGGAGACCAACTGACTAGGAGGTCGATCCAGTTTCCCCTGAATGTTGGACTTTTCTGTGTTACACTGTGAGCCAGAGAGGCCTGACTGACTCTGGAAGGAGCCGTCTCCTACCCGTGGTAACAAATTGGCATAGGCAGCAGAACGGGCTGCAATGGGGTAGAGGGATTGGAGGCTGAAGCCGGGCTGCCTGACCCATCATATGGCCTCTATCCAAACGTGGCCCAGCCGAGGCTGAGTCATTTTGTTGAAGAGCCACTCCAGCCCAGGGGAGGAGCCCAGTAGAGCAGGGACCTTAAACAGAGGTTTGGGGACAAGAGATTTGTGAACCTAAGTGCCCAGGGCTCAACCCAATGAGCAAGGCTCCCACCTACCCTGGGAGTGAAGGCGGGGCTTACTACAGCTGTCCCTGGATTGTGGGTGGAGAGTGAGAATGTGAGGTTCTTCCCATACTGGGATTTAAGAGAAGTCCCTAAACCCCAGGAACAAGCAGAATAGGGGAGCCTGTTCTCACATATTAGTGCTCCAAAGAGGTGGGGACACGGTACGGCTGCAGAGGGTGCCAAAGAGCGACGGAGGGCTGGGGGATGACATTTGCTGATGTTCTTCCAGCTGCAGCGGCCCAGGCAGAGGCCAGCTGGGATGAAGGGAAGGGAGATGACGTGCTGAGCTAGGCATTAATGACAGATGGACCTCAAGAGTGGCTTCTGGTTTTGGGCCTGGGCATCTGTGCCACTGTATCCACTAACAAAACGGGAAAGAGCGGAGGTTTGGAGTGAAGCGGGTGGGGAGACTGTTCTCATTTTGGACATGAGGAGGTTGAGGTGTCCAGGAGGCACCAAATGGACAGTCTGGAGCCAAGGAGAAGGTGGGGGCTGATTATATCATTTGGGCCCCACTGCATAGAGGCAAACACAGAGCCTGGGGCTGGGGGTAGCAAAGCTGTAGCACTAGGAAGACAGGAGAGAGAACAGCAGAGAGCCCGGCCCAAGCCACCAGGGCCCCACGTGTGATGACTGACAAGACAAGCCAGCCGAGGAGAGCAAGAAGGACTGGCCAGAGAGGAAGGAGGAAAACTCAGAGAGCGCGGTCGTGGAAACCAAGAGCAAAGCCAAGAAGGCAGTATAACTGCCAACTGCCGCAGGGAGCCGAGCGAGATGAGGACCCAACAGCACCCACTGGCTTTAGCAACACAGAAGGCGCTGGTGAACTTCGGTTTAGTGGGCTGAGATAAGAAAGTGGATGCAGTAGCCATAAACAATGTGGGTTTTTGGTTGGTTTGTTTTACGAATTTGTCCATGAAAAAAGAGACAGACAGCAGCCAAAGCTGGATGATGGTGGAGGGAAGGCTGCTGTTTTTAACAAGGGAGAGATGAGCAAGTTTCAGTGCTGATGGGAAGGTCCAGAGAGAGAGAGGCTGGAGGAGATTCTGGACACAGGGGCAGCAAGAGGGAGAGGGGTCCTCAGTCAGCAGAGACAGGCCCTCAATTGCCACAGCAGGAGGAAAGGTGGGTCCAGATAAAAAGACATCTACAAGTTTAAGGCCAGGGAGTTGAAGTAGTTCTCATCTAGGAGGGGTCCCCCTCTTCCTCCTCTGTCTCCCACACAGGGGGTCCCAATCACAGGGCTGGACACGAGGGAGCCTGTGGAAAGGACCAATGGGCAAGTTCTCCTGAGAGAGCCCAGGTGGACCATGGCTCTCTGCCCTACCTTTTCCTGGTACTGGCGCCGGGAGGAGTCCAGGGACTGGATGAGGGCGGTGGCATGGCCAATGAACATGGCGTAACAGGTGGCGCCCACGATCATGCTGAGCATGGTGAGCCAGACGTCCGACATCCCCACGGGTGCCTGCCGTCCATACCCGATGCACAGCATGTGGCTCATGGCCTTGAAGAGGGCGTAGGAGTACTGCTTTCCCCAGGAGTTGTTCTGTGGACAGACAGATTAGGGGATGGGGGGTGAGTGGGCTCAGACTTGTGAGAGGGCAGGCCTAGAAAAGTCCCTGCCACCTCTCACCCCTTAACCTAACTCTTTCCCAGTGGCCGAGTCCGGGGCTCCCAACCTTGCTGCTGGCCCAAAACCTCAGTGAGGGGCAGGGAGGCCACACTGACAACGCTTGGTGATGAGGGAAGCCACCCTGCTGAAATAACTCCAGCCCCCTCCAAATTACTGCGGAGCAAAGCCCATTTCCCCACTGACCTCAATTACAAAACCAGATATGCTTCCCCTGGGGGGACAAACTCTGGCAGACTGAGCCAAAAACACTGTCCTCATTCTGGGCGAGCAAAAGTTAAAGTGCTGCTGAGCTGAAGTTCTGCCGTGCGAACCCCGCCGGCATCCATCCAGGGAAGCAGCCACTAGTACCCTCCCCCAGAAGGTGGGCTGTCTGGAACACACAAGGCTGGGGCAGGAGGAGGGAGAAAGGGAGCGAGGCTCCTGGCTATTTTTGTCTCCAAAGCCAGTCGGTGTCGCAAGGAAGCCTCAGTGTGGGAACACTGGGCTCAGAAGGGCCATCTCCTGAATTTAGTGCATGTGTGGGCCTGTCACCCTCACACAGAGGTAACTGTCCCAAATGAGGGGGCCACCAGATGAACCCCAGTGCCTCTCTGCTCACGTGGTAGATGTGTTGGTGACAATGCAGAAACCCACCCTAGCATAAGGCCCACAGCACCCCTGCCCAGAGCCCCAAGTATTTCCACACTTCTAGGTTGTTCCAAGCACCTGGAGGAAAGCACACGAGCTGGGTGCCATGTTCAAGGTCACTCAGACCTTCCCGGACAGAGCTGAGCTAGGCTGGAGGCTCCCAGTCTAGACCAGGGTGGGAGTTCCACAGAGCTGATCTCCAGGGGTAGAAGGGGCCAGGCTCCTTGCCTGTGGAACAGGGGTGGCCCCCCAGCTGCCTCCAGTCAGGGCTTCTGGCCTTCCTGCTGAGCCCCTGGGGACCGGGAAATTCAATCCATATGGCAGATTCATTTACACGCAGCTCATCAAAAGGCTGTTTTGTAAAGCCCTGTTTGATGCTGAAAGATGCCTCGGGGTCTCTTTCACCTCTTTCAAAGTGGTTTTCCCCCCCTGGGGCCCTGGGGATTTGCCTTCAGACCAAACCAACCTGACTGAGAGGGAAAAGGAGAGAGGCAGGGATTTGCCGGACCCAGAGAAAGGCTCACAGGTCCAACGGGTCTCCGGCCCCACTTGGTGCCCACCCTGTCCAGAGGGAGGCTGGGGGGCTCTGCCCTGCGGCTTCCATGGCCCCAATTCCAACTTCTCCTACCCACCCACAGGGTTGGAAGGCTAGGGAGGGAGGGGGTCAGGCTCCATGCCCTCCAGGCTCAGGACCTCACCTGAGACCAGGATGTGTGTGTATGTGGGGCGAGGGCTGGGCGGTGGAAAGGGCAGGTAGGGGGACAGCCTGGCTCTGCTGCTGGAGCAGAAAGTGGCTAGCTGTGTGATCTAGGAGTCTATGCAAGCTGCAAACAGTGCCCCTCACAGGTTCCTCTTTTCTCAGGCTCAGCTTTAAGGGCTGGTCTGCCTCTGAGGAGCAGAGGTGGGAGGCAGGAGCCAGCAGCCCGGCGTTGCCACAACTGATATAATCGGAGGAAGTCCAGGTCTGAGTCTCCCTGGGTGAAATCGGGGCCAAATATCGAGGCTCCCAACTGCAGTGGAGGCTATAGGAAGGCAGAGGGAGCAGCACACAGCCACGAGCTCCATGACAGGCCTGTACCAGCTAGAACCACGTGCCCTTGCGCACCTCACTGGCACCTCAGGGTCCTACATGCTGGGACTCAGGAGTTCCAAGTTGTGGACCTGCTCTGCCCACATGTGCCTCATACCCCCACTGCCGTGCCCAGAGGGAGGGCCAGGCTGGGCGCTCACCACCATGTTGTTGATGGACACCCAGCAGTCATCGGGGAAGTCCTGCAGCATAGGCACCAAGAACTGCAGGCAGCCGTCCCAGTGGCAGAGCAGGAGCATCATGCCGATGAGATTCACTATGCGCACCACGGCGCTGGCCAGGTCGTAGGTCATGTGGAAGATCTGAGGGCAGAGGTGAAGAAATTGGCCTGGTTAGGTGGATGGCCGGGAACAGGGTCGGCCTCTCCCAGCCAGACCCTGCAGCTGCTGTGGGCCCTGTTCTGCTCATACTTGGCAGAGTGCCCAGCTCTGTGCAGGTCCAGGCTGTGGCTAGGGTGGGAAGGCATCAGGCCAGGCCCTGGAAGCAGCAGACTGCAGACTGTAGGGCCCCAGATGGACGCCTTCTGGGATATGTGCAGACGGTGGGGGCGCAGGAGGGTGTCCCACAGGAAGTCCAGCCATCCAGACTGGACATGGGAAGGGAGTGCACCAGGAGCCCCATACAGCCCCGAAGTGCGCAGAGAAGCCACTTCATCAGCTTGCCTAGGCCGTGAAGACAATAGAGAGAAGAGCCAGGCAGTCTGAGGCTCCCTAGGGGACCACAGTCTGCAGTCAGGCCAGGGGCATGGTGTTTCCCTCAACCCATCACCAGACTCACAGGACCCACCCAGGGGCCGTGGGCTCTGCATAAGGCAGTCAGGGGACTGAAGAGGGAGTGGCACAGACACACAGCCTCTAAGTTCAGGTAGACCTTGCTCCCAGGCCCACTTCCTGCCCAATTCCTAGCTGTGTGACCTTGAGAAAATCCCTGCACCTCTCTAATCATGTTTCCTCATCTGGAAAACGGCAATAAAAATTCTTACTTGAGTGGCTTGTCAAAAGGATTAAATTATACATACAAAGTGCTTAATACTGGGTATAGAAGTGTTCAATAAATTACAAACCATTATTAATTGATAAGTTGTTAATAATTGATCTTTATGATTAGTTAATATGTATCCGTAGCCACGTGCTCCTGTGCTGTTTAATAAAGTACAGGACCCTAACCCCAGCCCACTGCCGCCCGTCAATCTCTACTCCTGTGGCTCCCAGTGGGAGGACGAAGTGTGGCTGGGCAGGGCCAAGGGCAGACACATCCCAGCATCCCTGCCCCACTGCCTCCTCCCAGAGCTGCTGCTCAGTCCACTTTCAGCAGGGATCATCACGGTGGCAGGGCAGAGAGGGGCCACAGAGATGGAAGGAAGTCTAGAGGGAGGTCTCTGGAAGTTCTGGCCTTGCCTCCGGCCTGTGAGACTCTGGGAACCCTAGTTCTGGCCCCTCCATACTATTCCCAGGCAGAGCAACCTTCCTGGAAAGGGGCTTTGGGCCAAAATTAGAGACTTGTCAAATGCCACAGAGACCTAGTTTAAACCCATTTCAGATGGGGAAACTGAGGCCTAGAGAAATAGGCCTAGATATTTCAACTCCCTGTCTAGTGGTCAGCCCTGTAGCTGGTGGCAGGATATTCTGATACTAGTGACCTCAGTTTCCCCTTCTGGAATGTGGGCTGAGCCTGGGTCTAGGTTTTGAAAAACCAAAGATGAATGCTACTTGTCCAACCCCCAGGGTCTCCCCACCTGGGGCCCCCTGAGTAGCATGACTCTGGATGACCCAGCTGAAAGGCTGTGGAGTATTTTCAGGATGAAACAGCCCTTGGAAAGTTTACTGGAGGATGGCAGCTCCAGCTTGTCCCATGGTTCCCCATGGCCCCGGTGACAGAGGGACAATACCACCACACCTGAGTGTGGGCACGTGACCCTATAGTCTTCATTTCATTTAAACTCACAACAATCCTCTGCTAAAGATATTGTTAACCCATTTTACACTAAAGCTTAGAGAAGTGAAGCGACTTGCCCAAGGTCACGGCGGCAGTGGAAGAGGCGGATTTGGACCCAGGGCTGCCGGCGGGTTATTAATTGGCCAGTGAGGGAAGGGTGGTTTTCAGCAGTCCTGTTTTGCAGATAAAAGAACTCAAACCCAAAGTGGCCAAGTGATATGGCCAGATTCCCACAGCAAGCTGGACCAGGGCCGGGTGGGACTCCCTGGTATCTTGCCTCCACAAACACTGTGTAATGCTGTAGACAGAGCTGTGTGCCTGCAGCCTAACCCCCCCAGGGCTCAGAAACCAGCCCCGGGGCTGCGAGCAAGCCCGCCCCTGCGTAAGCTGACACATCTCAGTATAAGGAGCGGTGGGCACTGGAGAATAAGCAGGGCAGTTTTGGACTGGGCTCTGGGTTCAGCGGGGACTGGGGCCGGTGTCTGGGATGCAGAGCATGGCTAAGCATGATGCCAGTGCCTCTGGCCATCCCTCCACTGCTGGCCATGCCCCAGGGCCTGGATCCTAAGCCCAGGAGGCTCCCCCAGCCTCTCCCCACAATCCAACAGTGGCTCCTGAGCACCAGGTCCCCAGAGGTGGCTCTGAGGGAAGATCCCACTTCTGTCTTTTTAGCATTTAGCTGATCAGCTCGCTGACCTTGGGCAAGTCACTAACCTTTCAAAGTCTTGGTTGACCAGGATGCCACCAGCTCCCTCACTCTTGGGAATGGGGAGGGTGAGTGACACAGGACCACCCAGTCTCAGAGATGGCCATCCCCAGCACCTACCTTCACCTCCCACCACACCTCAGCCTCCCCTCAACTAAGACGAGCTGGACATCGGCGCCCCATTTCTCAGGGTTGCTGGAGAAATTAAACTGGCTAACAAAGTGCTCTGGGCCCTGAACCCGCACATGCGTGGGTCACTATTATTAAGTTCCTTCATTTCCCAGCTGCTGTGGACTGAATGTTTATGTTTCCTGAAAATTCATAAGTGGAAACCTGATCCCCAATGTGATGGTGTTAGGAGGTGGGGCTTTGGGAGGTGATTAGGTCATGAGGGTGGAGGCCCCATGAATAGGATTAGGGTCCTTATTAAAAAAGACAAGACAGATGATCTCTCTCTGCCCTATGACGACACAGAAAGAAAGTGGCCCTCTACAATCTAGGAAGTGGGCCCTCACCAGAACCCAACCGTGCTGGCTCCCTGATCTCATCTTTCCAGCCTCCAGAACTGAAAGAAATAAATGTTGTTGAAGCCCCCCAATCTGTGGTATTTGTTATAACAGCCCAAGCTAGATACTATATTGGAGCTAAAGGAAGACTTTGACCATCTTTAGAGGATGTCCCAGGCTGCTGTAGCCCACCATATCTGCTCCTTTCTGTGAATCACTCTGAGTCTTAAGGACGCAAGTATCAAGGTTGGCACATTTTTATGCAAGCTCTTCTGTTCTTTTTGTACTACCTATGTTTTTCTTTTCTTCATAACTAATTTTCATCTAAGACCAGGTCCTTGTCTAATTTTGCCTTTATCATGATCTCAGTAACGAATATGGCAGAGCATGTGGTAGGGTTTCAGGAGTGGAGAAGTGCTTAGTGACAAAGGTGAAGGTGACGATGACGATGGGGATCAGAGCTGCCACCAGTGTATAGAGTGGCATTTGAAAAGGGCCCCACTCTGGGCAGATACAGCCCCCAGGGAATCTATCTTTGTCTTTGCGGGAAGGAAAAAGGTGCCTTCTCCTGCAGGTGGGCACAGACTCATGCGTCCTACAGAGAGCATGTGATGGTGGTGGCGTCTGGTCTTGGGCTGAAGAGGGACACAGATGCTGGAGTGCCCAGAGGAGGGTTTTGGGGATGGGGAGGGGTGGGATGATGGAGGATTTTGGTGGTGGGGAGGGCTGCAGATGGCTGTCAGATACTGGAAAGCCAGAGCCACCAACAGGGCAAGGTCTGAGATTCCTGTGAAGAGCTGGTGGGGAGGATGCACCTATTGAGGCTAGGAGGGTACCCCAGAGAGCGAGGACACTTGCCCCACCCCCAACACTCTATGGCACCCAGGCTTGGTTGCTGAGAACAAGGCTGGACGTTGCTGGGAGAGGCTGCTAAACACTCCTGTGTCCCCGCTGTGGGTTGGGGCTACAGGCCACCCGCAAGTCAGCTGCACTACGCAAATATTTGTCTTGCTCTTTATACCTCATTAAAATCCCCTTTTATGATATTGGTTCTGATTGTGGGGGTTGAGTACCTTCATTTCCAGGCCCCTGCAAGGCAGGGACAGGTAGCCTGGGTAGATCACTCTCTGTGCCCCTGGTGGCACTCAGGGGAAGCTCCATTCTCACTCCCTTCTGCAGTTTTTCGACCACAGCACAATCTGAGAGGACACATCTTGCGCCTTGGGCAAGTGCCTTCTCTGCTCTGAGCCTCAGTTTCCCCAGCTGTGTAATGGCTCCATAACTGCCAGCTCCCAAGGCTGTCTTGGGGATCAGGAGAGATGATGTCCACAGCTGGCACACAGAAGGTGCTCAGTGCATGTCAGTTCCTTTCCTTCCCTCTCTTCCCCAGCCCTCAAATAAATGTCTCAGTCCTGGGGACAGACGAGCAACTGGAGTTTCTGCCAAGATCTCCTCTCAGGGCCTGGCTGAGTTCCCTCTCGGGGACTCATTTTCTCCTCAGGGAAGAACAAACTTCTCCCTTTGTCTCAGCAACAAGCAGCCACATTGAGGACAGCAATCCCAGGCCCAAGAGAGTGGCTGGTACATGTGCATCCTGGACAAAGCCTGGAGGTAGCTGAACTGAGGGTCATGCTGGCTCCCTTCCTGAGGGCCATAGAGAGGGCCAGTTCCCGCCCCCTAGTACCACTCCTATGCGTCGTCCCAAACTCAGGATTCAGAGAGAGATGGAGAAATTGGGGCCCACAGGGAGAGGAGACTCATCGAGGCTGCACAGCTGCCCTGGGCTGGCCTCCTGCCTCCTGCCGTTCCAGGCTGCCGAGGGAAAGAAGAGGCTTCTGGGCTGGGTCGCTGGGGTGCTGGGCCCTGCAAGGGAACATCCGAAGGGGGGCGACCACGGTTTCTAACAATAGCCTCCGTGCCTATAACAAGCTCGCACCTCAGAGGAAGGGAAGAGGCTTGGCTGGGAGAGGCTCGGGAGGGAGGATGCTGACCCAGATGCCCGGGAGGGAGGTAGAGGCGGGCGTCCTCTGAGACAACAGCCTACACCTGCTGAGACCACTCCACCTACCCCGACTCCTGAGACCCGCTACTACCGCTTGGGATCTCTCACTGGGGGCAGGGCTGGGCGAGGGCAGGCGGCTGAAGCATGGGGGTCAGGAGCCTAGCATCTCCGCAGCTTCACCAGGGTGCCTTGGACAAGCTTCTCCCTCTCCATGGGAGGCCGACTCCCCAGCCCCTACCCAGCGTCACAACAATGTCTTCAGAATCAGCTGAGATGATCCTCGCCAAGACTGGAGTAGGGACTGAGCCCGGGTCTCCAAGAACATCAGAGTATGCCTGACAGTCAGGGAAACTGAGGCACAAAGAAAGAAAGAGATTCACATAGGGAGTGGGAAGAGGAGACAGGGCAGGGTTTTCTCTACTAAATACCTCCCTCTCCACGCCTCCTGCAGACCAGGGGCCTCAAAGGCTCTCCCTGCTGCTGCCCCGAGGCCAGGCTGAGGCGAGGAGAAGCCCCGGTCCTGGGGCAGGCCCTTAAGGATCTAGAGACAGGGTTCCTGAGGCTAGCTGGGAAACCCCAACTCAATCCCGGGGGTCCAGTGGGAGCCCTTAGCTGGGCAGTGTGCCCAGCAGAAACCAGCTCAAAGCAATTTCCTTCCCAGCTGGTAGGCAAGATAAGGGTGTGTGTGGAGGGGGTGGGGAGTCATCCATCTGGCCTCCTGGGATCTCCCTTCCACCCACAAGGTTGGGTAGCAATGTCCAGTTCAGAGCCCAGACCTGAGGCCTCCTGGGGCCTCTGTCTACCTGAGGGAAATGCTAGGGCCAGAGCCAGCCTGACCAGTTTTGGATAGGCCAGAGGGTAGCCAGGCTAGAGTGGCAGTGGGGACAGGAGCCCTGGCCTGAGCTCCCAGGATGTATGGTGCAAGGACAGTAAAAGAAGTGGTTAGCTCTTGTCCCAGGGCCTACTGTACCCAGAGCCACTGGCAACACTGCCAATGCCCCCAAATACCATTGTCCCCGGGGCCCATGCACAGGAAGGAGCAAGGTTAGCCCTCAGGGGGCTGATGCCTGGAGACACAAACAGATGCGAGAGAAGGGAAAGAGCAACTACTTCTCTGCTTCTAATGACAGTATAGGTGCAAGTCCAAGACAGGCAGAAAGTTGAGGGTTCTTGGGGACTGAGGGAGCCAACATGGTGCTGCATGTCTACTTGGGACAGAAACCAAGAGACAAGCCTGTCAGGGCATTCCAGGAAATATGTCTCCAGCCATCCTCTGCAGCCACGCAGAGTGGCCCAGGCCACCACCACCATCACCCTCTCTGTTCCCTCTCAGGCCTGAGCTCAGACCCACATGCCAACATCTCTCTGCACCTGGATATCCCATAGGCATCTCAAACCCAACCTGTCACACAGAATTCCTTACCCCACCCCACAACCGCTCTACTGCCTACCCTCCCAAGCTCAGCTGGGAGCCATCCCGAGTGAGGAACCAACGGAATAATGGGTAAAAAGTACTGGAGAAAAGGAAACACCTTGCAGAAGTGTAGGGGGTGACTAAGATGATGGGGTGGGGAGGGGCATTTATTAAACGGTTCTCTGCACCAGGCTTCATGCTAAAGGTTTTACAAACATCATCTCATTTAATCCTCATAACATTCCAATGAGGAAGGTACTACTTATACCCACTTTGTAGATAAGAGACTGAGGCTCAGAGAGGCAAGGTGGCACCAAGGTCACACAGTTAGCCAGTGTGGAGCCAGGATTTCAATTCAGGTCTCACACGTGTCATTCTAGCTCCAAAGCCCACAAGCAGTCCACTCCGCCAGGGAGGGACTGCCACATTGCTAGGAGCCAACTGGGTTCTGCTCCAGCTCAGCTGTGTGACCTTGGACAAGTCATTGCACCTCCTCTGTCAGCAGGAATAACGCAAATTTTCCAAGCCAAAGAGAATTTCTGCCATGGAGTGATTCTGCCAGGCTGGTGGAGGCACTTCTGCAGCGCAGGTGTTCACGACACCTCTGACCTCCATCTGCCAGTGCCCCAACCATCAGCCTTCCGCTCTTGCCCAGGGTCTAGGCTGCTGCTGAGGGTGCGGTGGGGACTTTGCATACTGAGCATGGGAACTTCCATCCAGTCAAGCAGAGGTCCTGGAGACCAGGAGGCAGTGACCTGAGGCCGGAAATGCACCTCCGCAGAAGCTTCCCAGGCCACAGCCTGCTCCAAACCCCAAGGTGAGCAGTCTCACAGAGCATGTCTCCCCTACCCAGTACCTCCAGGCTGGCCTGCCTGCTGCTGCCACCAAAAGGCGTAATTTGGGTGGTGGCAGACACAGACAGAAGTGCTGGCAAGGTCACCTGCTGTTTTTCAAACCCCAGTCGCCTCCTCTGTTCCTCCACAGAGGACTGCGTTCAGCTCGGGGATGAGTTAGGCTTGTCCAGGACAGCGTTGGCCCACCCAGTTGTTTCACAATTTGTTATTTAGGTTCTGCAGCCAGTGCCCCACCCACAGCCCCCAGGACCCCTTTACAGTTCACATGCACACAGCTCCGGGCTCCCTCAGCACTTTCACTCCCTATAGCCAGCACCTGCGGCTGTCTGTCAGAGGCCTGCCCCAGGCTGCTGGAAACGACTTTGTCTGCTGGCACCTGGCACCGAGGGCAGGAAGTGCCCTGAGCCAATGACTGACAGGTAAGGGGATAAAAAATTGCAACTCCTTTGCCCTTATTGGGACAACTCTGAGGTGTGGTACATACTGTCCCCAGAGTTCCCTAGAGGACTCTGCTTGTGTCACCCTTGTTTGGCTTCCTTCCTTCCTTTCCCTGTGCCTTTTCCCCAATCCCTTACCAGGAAACACCTCCTCCAAAAAAATCACTTTCATGCAAATCCTCATCTCAGGGATTGCTCGAGAAGAACCCAACCTAAGACAGTTGCAACAAAATTTACACAAAAGTCCAGATTTCTGCTTCTCACAATAAACCCATAGATCTAGTAACCCTGGGCCCATTCCCACTCGGCAACAAGAGACTAGAGCTGGGTAGAGGCTGCCTAATACAGACGGAAGGTGTGTTCTCCAGGCTTCCCCAGTCCACCACACTCCCTACCGCCTTTCAACTGGCCCCTTTCACCCATTCACATTCCCTGCCTGGGCCCCAAAGGCTTACGAGTTTGCAACCCCTACAACATAGTGCAGTGGTTAACGGTGGACTGGAGTTCAGGTTCATCAATTACCAATTCTGTGACTTGTATAAATCCCTTAATCTTTCTGTCTCTCAGTTTCCTCATGTAAAAAATGAGTACCTACACATACCTATATGGAACCCTCTATGGTTGTTAGAGACTTAAATCAGATACTACCTGTAAAGTGATTTGCACTGTATCTAGCACAGATGATAGGAAGTCAAGAAATTACTAATTTTTGTCCTTTTGGAGCAAGTGTGCCTACTACAATCTGACAGCCCACGTGCAACTATCCGAGATTACCTGCTGGCCCCTCACTCTCCCTGGAAGGAAGATACACCTTCGCCCCAATAGGTTTGAGTCTGACGACTCACCTCTTCCCACTGATGAATATATCGAATGAGACGAGAGAGACGCAACAGGCGCAGAAGGCTGAGGATCTTGGTGAAGCGGACGATGCGCAGGGCCCGGGCAGTCTTGTAGACCTCTGAGTCAATGCGTGTCTCCACAATGAGGAAGATGTAGTCCACGGGGATGGAGGAGATGAAATCCACCACGAACCAGCTTTTGAGGTACTTCATCTTAATCCGCTGCGGGTCCAGGATGATCTCTGTGTTGTCCTCCACCACAATTCCTGTGCGGAAGTTGAGGACCAAGTCGATGAGGAAGAATGTATCTGACACCACATTGAAGACGATCCAGGGTGTGGTGTTCTCATCCTTGAAGAAGGTGATGCCCACGGGAATGATGATCAGGTTTCCCACCATCAGCAGCAGCATGGTCAAATCCCAGTAAAATCTGCCCAGAGACACAGGGGTCAGTTGACAGGAGGAGAGAAAGAAAGAGTTACAGACTAAGAGAGAAAGCTCTGAGGGAGAGCAAATGTGGGAGAGGTAAGTCTTGGGAGGTTCTGAGTCACTGAGGGAGATAGGCACATGGGTACCTGGGCAAGATGTGGAGATGGGCACAGAAAGAGGCTCTTCCTTCACTAAGGATACCTTCTGCGTGCCCCTCGGTGAGCTCCCCAGTGACAAGCCTCCTACTCCCATCCCCATGCCCCAGTGAGTCAGGCTGAAAAGCAAACCAAACAATGACATCCAGAGAGAAGTGAGAGGCTGTTTTAGTGGCAGGAATAGTTCCCCCCACACCACCCCAGGCTCAGGCCAGGCTGCTCCATCCTCCCTGAGGGCCAGCTGTGGCCTGAGACAGGATGGCAGGCAGACATGCCACAGACCGTGACCAGAGAGCAAGGGAGGTCCAGACACACAGCAGGTGCCTGGGAGGCGGGAGGTCCAGGATCCAGCCCCAGCTCTGTCACTGACAAGCTATGTGACACCAGGCAGGTGCCCTCCATGCTCTGGGCATCAGTTTCCCCGCTGTGCAATGAGGAGTAGCACCTCAACTCTCAGTCCTATAATTCTGATCTGACCATCATCCACACTGATTCTTTGGGGTCCCCCTTTAGTCTGTCCCCAAGAGTAAGAAAATGTCTGACCATCTTTGTCCCCCAAAGGTTTGCATTCTAACATGGGGGTGGGGAAGGGCAGTGATATCTTCAAAGGCAGGAAGTGTTAATGGGAGGATTTCAGGCACCAGTGAGGTAGCACCCAATGCAATGGAGTGAGACCTGTGGGGGCTTCCAGTATCATTTCTCCTAAGGCCTTAAAGCAACTGCAAGTGCTTCCTGAGGGAGGTAAGGAGGGGTCCTCAAAGAGAAGCCTCTGAGAGGGTACAAAATGTGAGGCAGTAAAAGCCAACTCACAGATCTCCCACCTGGCCCAGCAGGGGCCCCTCTGGAGAGTGCAGGTGGCACAGGTAGGCACAGACCCTATGTCTAGAAGGGATGACCAACCATTACCAGGAATGCTGCCCAAGTACCAGTCACCCCAGGACTGGCCTCAAAACTAAAAACTTGCACTGCAGAGCCGTTTCCCTCTGCTATTAATTTATACAGTTACACAATGACAGATAAAAGTATTAAGTCAGGCAGAAATAAGCATGTCTTCTCCCAAGAGAAATAACCTTTTCAGCCATCTTTAGTTCTCTACTGCAGGGAAGCCAGGAGGAAGGGAGTAGGAGACAAAAAGACAAGCATTCCTTGAGTTTTCAGAGGGTCCTGCTGCAAAACCAAAGTGCCTCTGCCTGAAAAGTTCCGGGTTTGGGGAAAAAAATTATTTCACAGCAAATCGCTTTCTTTGTCAGATTCAAAATGGTGCCATGAGTCAAGTAGAGGGCAGAGCCTGCTTCACTGAAGGTGGGCAAGACAGATGTCCCATATCACACAGCTCAGGAGAGGCTGGCTTCTGGAAAGGCAGCTTCTGGCACCTTCTTTGAAAGACAAGCCCTTCAGGGCTTCAAGACAGGACCTTAGTCAGAGCCTCATGGGGATAAGGCTGGTACCAAGAGGTCAACTTCAGCTCCTTCCCTGCCCCACAGCCTACCACCCCTTCTCCAGCCCCAATCCCCCTATGCCATGGGGAGAACTCACCCTAAGACCTGAGAACCTACCCCACCCTTCATACCCCCTACACAGAACACAGCACAGCCTCGCTAATGACTCGTGGGCCCCAAGAGAATGGTTTCAGCTTCTATGGGGTGCTCTCGAGCTGTGTACACTTTCTACCCAGCCTCATGCATATCATTCAAAGACAGCTGCAGACACTCATTCGATGCCACACACAGGTATCCCCATTCACACACAAAGCATGCAAACACTCCTATATATACATGGCCATCGTTCCTTTTCATTTAATCTCTTGGGAAAAACAAAACAAAACAAAACTGTGGCATAGAGAGGCCACTGAGGGCCCTGTGGCCCTCTGTACATAAAGCTAATAATACACCCAGACTGAAGAAGTTTCTAAAATTAACAGAGTGGGTGCAAGGCAGCTAGGAATGCTGACTCGGGCAAGCCTGCCACTCCAGCGGGTTTCTATACTCTCCTCAGCTCTAGTTCCCCAATTACAGGCCAAATTTGAGACAGTAATTAACAGGAAAATGTTTGCATTTAGTGGTCTTCATAAAATCAAATTATATGAGGCAAAAACATCCATTTCCTTGTATTCTGACTAATTGTTTCGATCGTGAGTTTCCAGATGCTAAGGGATATTTCTAGTGTCTGATTTGGGCTAGGGTCGGAATATTGGGGCACTTCTCCACAAACCATTATCCTTGAGCATGGCAGAGCTACACAAAAGGCAGCATAATATGGTAGGGAGAAAGAAGCACAGGCACTCGAAGCCAGCCAACCTGGGTTCAATTCCTAGTTCCATCAATTACTAGGAAGTCATTAACTTCTCCATGCCTCAGTTTCCTCATCTGCTCAATGAAGATCATAACAGTACCTAACAAGCAGAATTGTTATAAGAACGGAATGAATTGATATTCGTAAAATGCTCTGACCTATGCCTACCTATATTATTAAATGAATAAATAAGTAATTCAAGTCAACAAAGTCACAGGAAAGAGGTGAGGAAGGAAGATGAAATCTTTCAGGGAAGAGCCAAAGCAAAGCATCTACTGGGAGTGGGGGTGGAAGGGAACTTATAATGGTTCTGGGAAAGCCAGTGGTGGAAGTCAGGGGCCACAATATTCCCCAATAAGCCCACAGAACCTATTTACCTTGGCAGACAGATGCCCTGACCTCAGGGAGCTGATGGACAAGGTCAGAGAACAAGGCTTAGACAGAAGACAAGTTGGGCAATGATTTAAGAAACCATCCCAGGCAGCAGCCCAGGCATCTGAGAAGGTGGACTCCTGGTGGGCCGGAAGGGTGAGGCCAGAAAGTGCTCCTGGAGGAGGTGAGAGGAGTTGGGCTTTGGGAGCTGCCTCTGGCCTCACAGACTACCCTTCCTTACTCTTTGCCAGACGGCTGCAAAGATTTCTGAAAGCACAACGGAGTGAAAGCAAAAAAAAAAAAAAAAAAATGATGTTCAGCACCATGGACAGCTCCTGGCGCGCCTGCCAGGCCCATTCTGCTGGTCCAGCCAGGGGAAGTTGGCAACAGCCTCTCCACTGCATCCTCAGCTCTCTGGCCCCTCTCTCCCCCAATCCTAGTGATCAGAAGCATCTCAAGAGGTTACTTAACGTCCTTGGGCATTTTCACCAGGGGATCCTTGGTGACTGAAAAGCCTTTATTCACAAAGACCCCAGAACACTTCACAGTATCGAGCACACACTTTGTGCTTTCCATGCATTACTTCATTTAACTTCACACCAGCACTAAGGTGGCTGCTGTTATCTGCATTTTACAGATGATGACACTGAGGCTCAGAGAGAAGTATGTGCCCAAGACCACACAGTTGGTGAGGACCATACTTTAGATTCAGAGAGGTCTGTGGGACTCGGAGCCTGACCGCTTGGGATTTTAGGCACCTCGGTGGGATGCAGGGAGGTGGACAAGCCCTTCTGGCACCTGTGCATCACACTGGGGAGGTAGCCTACAACAACAGGTGCAACCCCTGCCCCAGAGACAAGAGAGGAGAAAGAGTTGCAGAGAGGTTTCGAGGGGACGCATCCTCCTGATGGTGGGGCCTTCTGAGGCACTTCCTGGGCGAAGGAAGTAGCACTTTTCAAGTATTAAAAGCACCTGGTCCTCAGCAGTCAATAGGGCACAGTTGCACCCATCCTGTAAAAGGGAAAACTAAGGTCCACAGAGGAGGGAACAGGAACATTTCTAAAGCCTCAAGCTAGATGCCCCATGCTCCCCTAGCACCCCACAGCCCCCAGAATCATTCATGACTAAATCCCACCATCCAGGGTATGCATCCATGGAGGCAGGTAGCAGGCTCTGGCAGGGAAGCAATGGACAGCCAGACTCAGACATGCTGGAGTTGGCACATGCCTGAATTAGAGGCCTTGTTCTCTCTAAAAACAGATGACTCACCTCTCCACCGCCCCCCACTGCCCCATCCAAGTGTCTTCTCAGCTGAGAGGAAGTCCTAGCCAGGAAGACACGACTTGGGCACTGGAGGCCATGCCCCAGGTTCAGCCCCAGGATCCCAGGCGTGGCCTCCCTCAATCCTGGACCTTGCTTCCTACCTGGACCAACAGGTCCTTTCAGGTAGGCAGGTGGCCTCTCAGCAGGAGGACGTGGCCTATAGACCAGTTTTGGAGGAGAAGATCCCACACGCAGAAGGAATTGGGGATAGCAAAAAGCCAAACAGCCCTTTTACACTGATACTTGGGACATTTCATGGTTTGGTCTGAGAGGAAGGTTATGGCCTCAAGGTTGCTGAGGGAAGAGAAGAAAGGATGCTCCTGGCCTAAACTCAGAGACTCCAGGATCAGACCAAGGGCCCTCTCCTTCCCTGGAGGCTGAAGAGGACGCAAAGGGTGATAAAATGGGGGCAGGAGAAGTGAAAGCCCTAGAACAGGGATGGCCTCCTTCAGCCTCCTCTTGTCCATACACGACCATGCTTGCATTTGAGCATATATGCTCACACAGCCACGTGCACACATATGGGCGTGTGCTCACACACCCATGAATACATTTTTGTACACTCTCTTGTTTATGCCCTCCTGTTACTTTTTGTCCTTGTACACACATCCATTTTCATACATGTAGACTTTCCTGCACACGCACTTGCATACATTTTGAGACAAATGATATCCGCTGAGATTTCTGTTAGCTGAAAGAAAGAGAATACCTTTTTTTGCCCATTAAAATCTTTTCCATCCTTCAAGATTCATCTGAAGTGCTACCTCTTCTGGGCCTCTCCAACCTCTCACAGATTGAGCCTCAGCCCAGCCTGAGCCTGGCCTTGGATCTCCCAGATGCTGCAGACTCCTTGAGGGCA